TGGGAATAGCTTGAGATGGGCCAGACTAAGGGAGGTACTCACTTCTGATGGCTTCTCCAGGATATGCTGGATGATGGCAATGATTATGCATGACCGCCAAAATAGAAGAAGGGATGGACAAAGGAGCTATGATCAGACTGATGTGGAGCCAAGCTGCACTCCAAAGATTGCACGTGGAGTCTAAAAATCTAGAGGTTTATATAGGAAATATCTAGCTTCCAGCTATAGGGTTGATGGCTTGGCTGAAGCCTGGACAAAGGTGCTGATTGCCTGGGCTTTTTTAAGCCAAGGGTGTGAGGATGATCTAAACCATGTGTTTAGATCTTGACACAATCAAGGAGAGGAGGCAAGAGAAAAGGGCACAGTTAAATCTGATCACTGCCCCATCAGGAGTGAGACTCAGGACAAACAGGTAGACGACTCAATCACTCCAGTGGCAAGTGGGAATGGTGAGCAATTGAGGTGCTAGTCAAGCAATCTGACAGAGTTTCTGCCTGAGCCGGGGACTTGCTGAAAAGTCCCAATATTTATACCAAAATTATGCCTTGGCAGGCAGATTCCAAGGGATTGAAAAGACCAAATGGTGTTGAAGTTACTTTGAAATGATTTTAAAGTTCTTTGAAATGGGTTTGGAGTCACTTTGAAATGGTTTTCCAAGGTGGCAACACTTAGGAGGTGTGAATGGGTTACAATAGTCATGCATTTCCAGGCAAAGAGGATTGACACGCAAGATCGCCAGTGCTTTATTTTACATCAGCCCATTCTACTGTGATCCTGGGGTCTCCTTGCCTCCTTCAGAATGTCTGGAATCAATCAATCAATCAAACTGGGGCCCCATGCAACTCCTGTCTTGCTAGCCTATCTGCAAGAGCTATTTTTTGGTCATGGCATCTGGATTTGGGTTGTAGAAGGGTCACCCATCCTATGTTTTATATCAAAAGAGGAGGGGTGTCCAGAGACATTCATGGGCCCTAATACCATGTATGGATGTGAGAGCTGGACAGTGAAGAAAGCAGATAGAGGGGAAAAATCAATTCATTTGAGATGTGGTGCTGGAGAAGAGTGTTGAGGATCCCATGGACAGTCAAAAGGACAAAGAAGTGGGTCCTTGAGAAGATCAAGCCTGAACTTTCCCTGGAAGCCAAGATGACTAAATTGAGGCTATTGTACTTTGGCCACATTATGAGAAGGTATGACTCACTAGGAAAGACAATGTTGTGGTGGAAGGTACAGAGCAACAGAAACAGAGGAAGACCGCACACCAGATGAATGGACTCCATCAGGGAGCCGAAACAATGAGAATAGGAAGACATGGAGATGTCTCATTCACAGGGTTGCCATGGATCGAGGCCAACTCGAAGGCAGCTAACAACATCACCTACTGATTTCAGTACTTTTCCTAATTCTTTGCACAAAGTCTATCACTGTTCTCTTCAGTAGTAATAAGTGAAGAAGAGCTGTGTTGTGTTGGTATCCATTTAGAGTGATCTATGCCACAGATAATTAATTACATCAAAAATATCCTACCTAATAGATGCCTCTGCCACATGCATATGCAATCAGATGCAAGATAGTAATCCAGTGAGCAATTAGCAATTAACCCAGTGCCAACATTTTTCTAGGCATGAAATGCTGTGGTTTCCTGGGACAGAGCTATAATTTTGTGGCGAAGATTAGAGATACTATCCAGAAGATTATGGAGTTTTCATACACCAGTGTGTCCTGGGTCCCCCAGAAAATCTCAAGAATTTGGTAAAATCTTTGTTAAAGGATCTATAGTAACTCTTGTAGCTGCCCAGAATTCCCTGGGAGAAAGAATGTTAAACCTGTGGTTTTCAATACATGCAAAGATATGTACATTTTTAGAATGCTAAGGGCCAATTGACACATTTCAGAAGGGTTGCCATATGTCAGACCAATAGTGAATATGAAGCATGGGGAATCTTTGTCCATCTAAGGGCCAAATTGGCTCCAGGCAAGCATATGGGAAATATGGGGGGCATTCTGGCAGTGGACAGGACCATAGCCAGGTAGCCATGATACATTGACTTTGTGTACACCCACATTACTAGCATGTAGCGTCCCATTGAACTTCTGCTCAACACACATGCATAACTCATCCATTCATTCTCTCTCAAGTTATTTCTAATTTTTGCAATAACTAAGTTACATTATGATTGTAATTAATGAAGGAAAATCACGTCTGTTGAAGTAAAACTAATATTTGAACTTACATTTTTATTTATGGGCATGGGCTCACTAAATCAATCATATCTGACTTATGGCAATCCTTAGGTGAATCTAACATGAGGCTTTCTTGGCATGCTTTTAATTGGGGGGGGGGTGCCATTGTCATCCTCTGAGGCTGAGAGCATGTAGGCCACCCAGTGGGTTTCATGGCAAAGCAGGGAACTGAACCCTGGTCTCCAGTCATAGTCCAACACTCAAACCAGTATGACACATGTTATTTTGTTATATGCCTCCAAGTCATTTCCGACTTATGGTGAACCTAAGGCGAAGCTATCATGGGCTTTTCTTTGCAAGATTTGTTCAGATGAGGTTTGCCACTGCCTTCCCTGAGGCTGAGAAAGTGTGACTTGCCCAAGGTCACCTAGTGGGTTTTCATGGCTGAGCCGAGAATTGAACCCAGGTTTCCAGAGTCATAGTCCAAAACACAAACCACTATGCCACATAGGCAATGGTAAATTATTATGAGTTCAATAAATAATAATAATAATAATAATAATAATAATAATAATAATAATAATAATAATAATAATAATTTATTATTATACCCCGCCTTTTGCCAAGGCAATCAAGGCTGCTTACATAATATAAGATACAAAGTATATTATGAGATACAGTTTAAAAGCAAATTAAACAGCAGTAACAATGATAATAATTAACCCCCCCCCCTTAAAAGAGGGAGGGAGGGCCCTTCTTTTTTACAGATTAGGTGAAGGGTCTGGAAACTATAAAGTCCTATGAGGAGAAATTTAGGGAGCTGGGTATGTTTAGCCTGGAGAAGAGAAGAGGTGATACAATAGCCCTATTTAAGTATTTGAAGGTATGTCATATTGAGGATGGAGTAAGCTTGTTTTCTGCAGCTTGTTAGCATATGTGATTTTTCATAAAATTTTTGACACATCTGGAGTTCCCTTTATGACCCCCAACTGGCCTCTGAGGGAGGGTAGCAATAATCCCCTAGATGGCAGGTCATATAGGCACTGAGAAATATGCCCAGAACAGATGGGAAATTCCCTACCAGACAGGTTTGGGAGTTGCCAAAAGGGAAAAACAATTATACTGGAAAAGATACATAATAATGCTTGTTTGTCTTGAGTCTCACACTTGATGGGGCAGTGATCAGATTTGACTGCACCCCTTTTCTCTAGCCTCCCTTCCTTGATAGTCTTGAAACCAAATGCATTGTTCAGATTGCTCTCACACCTACGTTTCACAAAGCTAAGACTATCAACGCCTTTGTTCTGGCTTCAGCCAAGCCATTTAGTCAATAGCCAGAAGGCAGAAATTTCCTATAAGAACCCTGAGATTTGTAAGCTCCATGTGCTATCTTGAGAGTGCATGCAGACTCCATGTCGGTCTGTACTCTGATCGTAGCTTATCCCCTCCCTCCCATTTCAGTGGCCATGCTTCATCTTCTTTATCATCAACTTCCACAGTGGAACCCGGAGAAGCCTTCGGAAGTGAGTAACTCCTTCAGCCTGGTCCCTCTCAACTATTCCCGCTTTCACCCCCTTTATTCCTAAGAATGCAGTGTGTGGTGACCTATTTGTGTGTGTGGTATTCCCATATTAATAATAAATATTTAGACTTTAATTGCAGAAGTCTGCCTCAGCATCATCCATTGTGGAATATCTTAGTCCTCTGGTATACACAACGGTACACGGTCCCATGGGGTGTTGTTAGGGCTCCACTCTTGCATATTTTGAGCTAATTATAAATTCCCCTAATTAGATCCTTCCTAACATTTTGGTGGAGAATGCTCGGCATTGTACAGTACCCCGAAATTTGGATGCCCCAAACTGATCACTTGAGCCATTTAAATCTCAGTACATAGGAGGAATAAGGTTCTTGGACGAAGGAGACGCTGATGCAGTAATAGCTAGGAGAGCATGTGTGTTCTTGTGTGACTGGAAATCTTGGGTTGGCTATCCCCTTTCGTACTTTATCTCTATCGTGGGTTGGGAGAGAAGAGCCAGGCTCCCCCATTCAGGTTTTCCCCTTCCACAATCCAAAATGTAGACTGTCCCCAAAACCACCTTCGATGAGCTCAGGTAGGCAAAGTGAGGAGATGTCCTCATCTGAGGCTGTAATCCTTTGTGCAAGGTTGGCAGAGTTAGCAAGGGTGAGGTGGCCCAGTGCAGTTAACGGAAGTTTAAAACTCATGGCAAGGGTCTAGCTGGGGCCCCAAGGGATAGTGGTTGCCAGGAGCCTACTGTGGGAGGTCAACCAAGTAGGAAGACATCACTTGAACTTCCCAGCGAATGGTTAGGAGGAGGAACTAACTGACCCTTGGCCAGGGTCTGGTGCAGGTTGCCTGTGGCACTAGCTGCAGTAGTGACACATAACCCCAGACCCACGGGTTCACTTGCGGGACAGGAGTGGTCCCTATGTCTGGAAGCCAGCTGGTAAGGATGGGAGTTTCCCAGTGGGGCCAGCACAGTCGAGATTCCAGCTAGTAAGGACGGGAGTGTCCTAGTGAGGCTAGCAAGAGTAAGTTTGAGCTGGTAAGGACGGGAGTGTCCTAGTGTGGCCAGCCAAAAAAATAGGATCCAGCTAGTAAGAACGGTAGTGTCCTAGTGTGGCTAGCATAGGGGGGTTACAGACTGCCAGAAATAGTGCAAATTGAGTCCACTTTTAGGGTTAGGGTTAGTGCTAGGGAATCATGGGAATTGTTTTTTTTTTCTGAGACATTGAGCCTTCTCTGTCATAGAGCTCTGATGCCACAATAAAATACAGTTCCCATGATTCCCTAACCCTAACCCTAAAAGTGGACTCAATTTGCACTATTTCTGGCAGTCTGCAACCCCTAACAGTTAGCGAAAGCCAGCTGGTAAGGATGGGAGTGTCCTAGTGGGGCCAGCATAGCCAAGAATAGATAAAACGAGAATGAGGAAGGTGAGGAAATAGAGGTCACCAAGCTGTTTAAAGAGGAGCAGGTCCAGGGCAGGCTTCAAAAGTGAATCACCAAGAAGGGGCCCAATCCATGGGTATCTAGAGGATTCCTCACGGAAGATCCATTTCTGACCTTACTGGAGGCCTATACCCTCAGGACAGAAAAGAAGGGGCTGAAAAGCATCCCCAAATCAGAAAAAGACAGGCTGGAGTCATGGGGAATCTGGACCCTAGCCAGTGGAGGAATATAAAAAGTACCAGTTAGAAGCAGTGGAGGAATATAAAAAGTACCAATTAGAAGCAGAAGTTTCAAGAAGACAAATTGGCAATCTGGTTACCCAAATTCAAGATAAGGTGACCGAAAATACTCTTCTCACCAGGACAGTAAATGAGGCTAGCCAAAAGGCTGATAGGGCTGAGAAAGAGAATGCCACCCTGAAACTGAGCATAGCAGAATTAGAACACAAATTGGGACAGGCAAAACAAGATGCGGACTTCATATTGGCACAGAAAATGAAAGTAGCAGCCCAAGCCGACCACACCATGTGCAAGGCCAAAATCAGGGAATTAGCAAATAAGATAAATTTAAAGAGTGCTTTAGTGGACACAGTACAACCAAGCATTTTAGAATCGGCCACACAAGTGAATATTCTTCCGGAGAGTCCCCCACCGGTAGAAGCATGGACTCTTCCTCCCTACAATCCCCAGTGGAGTTCCCCCAAAAGTTCCCACAGAGGGTTGCACTTCAGGAATACCCATGAACCCCATTAAAACCTGGAGTACAGTTGAACGGAAAGCCACCTCTAAGGATGGTACAGTTACAAAGACAGTAGTAGAAATGGTCTCTTGGTCCCTAACGGAAATCAAGACCATAGCAGACCAACTAGGAGAGCTAAATCCCCAGATCGGAGTCCAGTGGATGTCCACCATCATTCTTTCCTACCCAAAAGCTAAAGGGCAGGACCTCACACAGATAGCTAGGCTGAGCATAGATCCCATTTACTTAGGCCCCTTTGAGGCAGCAGTTTCCAACTATGATCTGGCAAATCTAGAATTGAAGGAGTGGATACGCGTAATGGTGCAGGTACTCTGGCCTGGCACCACCATAAGAGCCAAATACCACACAGAGGTGCAGCAGCCAGACGAAGCCCTAGTTACTTATGTAGCCAGGAAGAAAATGTTAGCCATTTTAGTCAGAGAAGTTGGCCTTAACAGTGAAGGAGTGCTGCTTCTGAATAGTTCAGAGTTCATAAGAGAGGTGTACCAGGGTTTGAATGAGGCTGCAAAGACTTACATAGGACCCACTTCCCAAAGGTTAAGTACAATAGACTGGCAGGGATTCCTAATGCACATCCAAGAGGCCTCCCAGATATTCTGGACCCGAGAAGCACAGAAAGACATGGCCAGGAGTTTGGTAGTGGCAGAATCAGGAAAGAATTCCTGTAGCACAGGCAGGAAAGCAGACAAGGACAGCGAGCCAGTTCACACGGTTACATACCGGAACGCTGGCCCCCACTCTCAGCCCCTACCCACTGAGCTCGGTAGATTTAGTAATAACAATCCCTTTAGGAGAAGTGCCAGGAGCTACTCCTGCAATTCGCCAGACACACAGGACCCCAACAAAGACTGCTTGCAAGAAATTAGAAGCACAATTTGGAGTTAGGGTTCCCTACTCATGAGGATTAAAGACTTACTACTCCAGACCTTAAACAGCCAAGACCCCAGTGGGCCTAGCCCAGACGCTAATACCCCCAATCCCCCAAAATCACAGTCAGAGCACAGGTCAGTCAGGCTAGGAACGTTTTGGATCTCATAGCTTGCAGAAAGCAAGGGCAGACCCTCGGATCCCTTGGGCTGAAGACTTTCCTGCCTGAACCACAATAAATCCTCCACAACCTTCCTCCAGGACCAGACCTATTAAGGCCCTGGAGAACCCGGTCTCTGCAGTTACTCCTCAGCCAAACATTCCCATACCCCCTCCACGCAGCCAGCAGATAGTTGCGACCTTCAAACCCAATTTATGGGGACATCCCATGGTAAATGTAAAGGTGGGACCCCACAACAAATCCCAACCAACCAAGCTACTTGTAGACTCTGGTGCTGCAGTTAACACTCTGAGCCCCAAACTAGCCACAGTAGGGAGCAAAACACAGGACAGTATGGAGCTCATCAGATTTGGCCAAAGCAAGCATCATGCCACCATCTGGAAAGACATTCTCATTCACTTAGCACCCATTATAGACAGCATTAGGTCATGTGAGAATCAGGGAGAGGAAGATGGAATTCTGAGAGTAGGATTTTGAAGAGGAAATGACTGACCCTTGATTTGGCCAATGGTCTCCAGTGGCAATTGGAAGAAGCCTTCTGGTAGTATCAGCCATCCACAAACATGGGCCTATCCCAATTGGTTGTTGGGCCTACGCATTGTGCAGGTCATACTCTCTATATGATCTTCAGTATGGAACAGGAATATCCATGGGCGGAGGTTATTAGTACCTCCGCATTGTCATGGATGGATCATTTTCTTGTCAAGATGGGACTCAGAGCCACTGTCTGCC